TCGTCTAAAAAATTTCAAAAATCAACTGATTATTCGACTTTTTAATTAACAAGTATATTTTGCACATACATTTCCATATTTATTCTACACTTATGCGACCTGTTTTACAAAATAACTTTTAGATCAGCATTACTTATGTGACTTGGGCACAAAAGAAGGCTTTCATGATTACCCAGCACTGAAACACAGAACGAACATCATGAAAGGGCACCATTTCTAAGGGCATCGTTGGTGCAAACGTAGTACGAGGAGAATTTGCCTTGCTCTCATGCCCACAGGACAAATGACCACAGAGGAAGCGCGGATATCTCACAAGTGAATAGCAGCGCAGGGTACATTCGAAACTAATTACTGCTACCACATGTCAAGAAGCGATAAAGAAAGCAGTCGATTTATTTCTATTTATATTACGTATTTTTATGTACTTTACAATAAGCAACAAACATAGCATACATAGCACCACTAACTCTATCTTCTGGTGAAAAAGTTCAGAGAATAAAAATATACTTTTAGTCAACTAGGCCGTATTCTCCTGGTTATATTCATTCTACCGTTAAAAATAGTTTATTTTCCTTCCTTCGATTTTCAACATCATTTATACGTAATTAAATATAAATTTAATTTACGGTTTACACCTTGCGCTAGCTTTCAGTCTGCACCAGGTGCGTCAAAACGAATTTCAGCTGTGATTCTTCCGTATCAGACAGCACGCACCTTCTAGCACGACTGTAGCACAATGAAGAGCGTGTCATATGTTAAGCAAATTTGTAACGAAATTTTTAGTTTATTGTATTCAAGTACGATTGGGTGAATTCCTTGCTCAGCGGATTAGCAAGTAATAAAAATTCTAAGCCACAGTTTGATTCGATCCTTGCACCTTTATATATTTGAAGGGCCCCTGCCCATCCCTAATTGTGTGCGGTGACATTTCGTAAAGGGTCACTTCGTACTCGAACTCTGGAGGTGACGAGCTCTAGTACCGCGGCGGGTAATCTTTGTCTTCATCACGAATTTCCCTTAGCAGGGAATTGACTATATGTTGTTTCAGACCGGAGCTACTCAATCGGTAGAATATAACTCAGACGTGAGAGGTCCTAGGTTCGACATCGGTTTGGTTGACTCGCCTTTCTTCGTTACGAGGGTGACTACTCTGAGTACCACTCTAAGAAATATGTTGGAAAGAAGCAAGCCAATGCAGATTCTGCCGGTTACAAAGCAGCTGTAGATTTTGCCTTTAAAAAATAGAACACTCTTCGCTGATGACATGGAAAAGGTCAGCGCCTCCATTAATAACTTCATGAAAATAAGGTTGCTCGAATTTGCCACATCGTGTAAAGAAGACCGACATTTGACGATTACAACTTTCTTTTCTTTTTTCCTTAACTGTGTGGACTTTTCGTTCTTCTTACTCAGAAGTTGTAATTCTCCATCTATGGACAAATGAAAGAATTAAATGGTTTCTTGATTACTTAAAGAGTTAATAAGAGCACAAACCCATAATTGCTCATCATATCCTGGTATATCTTTCAACTATATAATATTCGCTCGCGCGTTGCGGTCATATCGATAAAATAGCATAAAATTAGGTTTACTAACGTTTCGGCTATGTCGGCTAACGAAACAATGCTAACGTTTCGGCCCATGTCTCATGGGGCCTTCTCTAAGGTAAGTGGGTGGTAGTTTCGTGAATTCAGTTTGTCGTTCGCAGCAGATGATAGGTTCGGAGCCAGAAGGCAAGCCTTCGGTCCGTGCTGCGAGTTTTTGGGCGACAAGGGTGACATTTCCGCAGAAATTGTGTAGTATGGCCAAAGCAAGGTTATTTCCCTCGATGGCCTTAATGAAGCTGCGTCAACATAGAGAGACATCGGTTGCACAGTCGCGCAAAGGAGGCATTAATTATTCAATAGTGCGTTACAAGATACCGAGCGCGTGATGTAGGGTGAAAGAGGGGGGGCATTTTTTAATCGAATGTTATCTTGATGTGCAAACGACATGTCTGAGAAAAAAATATGCATAGAGTTTTTAGAGATGGTACAGTAACGCGAAGGCTACAAATGTAAAAATCCCATCCATCCTGATCTGGAGAAGTTTCACACCTCTCCCAAAGTTGGAACGTGAATCATCGATGTGTCGGTTCGAGGCGTCCAACGACACGTAGATCGAAACATGATAACCGCTATCAGATGAGGCGCGTCGCGACGCTCGGACGTGGCCACATCGCCGTTCTGAGTGCCACGGAGTGCCGCCAAAATGGCGGCCACCGTCGAACGGAATACGAAAATAGACGGAGTTTGGGAACGAGCCGTGTTGCTGCCTCGTAAAAGAGAAAACTACATATTTGAAACTGTCAGAAATAGTAAGAGGAATAAAACACGGTCAAAACGAACCCAAACTTGGGCGTCTCATCGCATATCCATGACGGATGCGATAGGATTACGTAGTGGAAACAAGCGCAGTCCGAACTCTGATGATTTACGGTATAGTGGATGGTACGCAAACAAGCAATGAGGACGACTAAAACAACGCACATATTCGAAACCTTTAAACTCATGCTCAAAATACTGTTCTTCTTCTTTCAATGTGATAAAAACTTATAAAATATGCATTCACACAACAACAAAACAATAAAAACGGATTAGCACTTGCAGTCATTTCTAAGTGGAGCTAACAAATCAATCCTTAAATTATTTTTGCATAAATTTTAACGAAATCATTTGGCACAGATGCTCACAGAAGACTCAGTTCAACTTCGAAAGAAATTTAAAACAGTTAACAGTTAATAGTTAAATTTAAAGCGTATTAAGGCACCAGCCGTATGATGGTCAAATTTACGCCACCCACCTTCATTGTTTATCTCTTTAAGACGGGCCAGCAACTGGGCACCAACCGGATTCATCTTTTTCTGTTCCGAGAACTGCAGCAAGGCAATACGTACGCGATCTGGCCGGATAACGAAACGGGAAGCAAGCTGCTCAACAAATGTCTTCTCATTCTCAAATCCCGACCGTCCAATGGTCATCGAGCTGTCCAGCACGATTGCCAGATCGACCAAAAATGGCTCTTCGCCCTGATCAGCAAAAGCGCTTTGATACTTGCCATTCAACACTACTATCAGCA